AGAAACTTTCGAAAAACGTGTCTGCACCACTCTTTATTGATTTCAGGGAATGTTTTCCTATATTCAGTATCAGAAATTCAAGAATTTTTTTCTAAAACATGAGATGGATGTGAGGTATGGGTTATTGGAATAAGAGCCAGTTTTCTCTCTACACATGGTCCCATATGGTGCGATTTCTCAGCCCATTCTTTTGAATGGGCTGCAAATCACACCAGAACACAGGAAAAAATAGTGCAAATGCTATGTTTAACCACATGCCGCCCAGCCACTGTATAAATACGGACGTGTGTTTTGTAAACAGGTAGGGGGCGCATGAGGCGCGCCGCCACCCTACCTGTCCCGCCGATCACAGTGGATGTCAGTCCTCGGGTCACAGCCGGTCGTTACCGGCTATGTCCCGGCGATCGGTGGCAATCGCTGACAGAGAGCACAGCTGCAGTAGCTGTGCTTTCTGTCAATTCCCTGACAGCTCCTGACATACTGATCAGGAGAGAAGAGTTTCTCTCTCCCGATCAGCGGTGTTCCCTGCAGTACACACCCCCGCCCCCTAGTAAAACACTCCCCCTCACACAGTTAACCCTTTCCCTGAAAAATAAACTTAACCCTTCCTCCCCAGTGCCATTAGTACAGTGTCAGTGTTTTTTTTTTTTGCACTGATCACTGTATTGGTGTCACTGGGGATGTCAGTGACCCCAAGTCAGTACCCCCCAATGTCAGAATGTCCGCCGCAGTCCCGCCATAAGTCGCTGATCGCCGCCATTATTAGTATAAAAAAAAACGAAAAAAATCCCAGTATCTTTCCCGTAATTTGTAAACGCTATAACTTTCACCAATTAATTTACACGTATTGGGTTTTTTTTTTCAGCAAAGACATGTCGCAGAATGCATTTTGGCAGAAATGTATGAATAAATTTGATTTTTAAATTTTTTTTTACTGGACATGTTTTATAGCAAAAAGTCCAAAATATTGTTTTTTTTTCCTCAAAATTGTCAGCCTTTTTTTTATAGCACAAAAAATAAAAACCGCACAGGCGATCAAAAAAGAAAGCTCAATTTGTGGGAAAAAAAGGATGTAAATTTTGTTTATGTACCGTATTGCATGACCGCGCAATTGTTCATTAAACTAGCGCAGTGCTGTATAGCAAAAAAATGGCGTAAATTGCATTATCTATACCATAGTTTGTAGATGCTATAGCTTTCACACAAAGCAATCATTATACACTTTTTTTTTTTACCAAAAACATGTAGCAGAATACATTTTGGCCTAAATTTATAACCAACTTTGAGTTTACTATATATTTTTTATAGCTGAAAGTAAAAAATATTGTTTTTCTTCAAAATGTTTGGCCTTAAAAAGCGCACAGGTGATCAAATACCACCGAAAGAAAGCTCTATTTGTGTGCAAAAAAGAACGTAAATTTCATTTGGGTGCAGCATTGCATGACCGCGCAATTATCAGTTGAATTAATGCAGCGCCAAGTAGCAAAAAGAGGCCTGGTCATTAAGGGGGGTAAATCCTCTGGAGGTCAAGTGGTTAAAAATGGTGCCTGCAAACACACGGCATTTGTTAAGTGCACCTGGGCTACTGTTAACATTCCATTGGCACCCACAGCAGGTCACAAGGAGCCAACAAAACTACAAAACCAGCAAGACTAATAAAACCCTGAGCTTACTAGTGACCCAGGCTGCTTTCAAACTATTTCAACTGAAGGACAATATATTCCAAAGAAACGTTACTAAATGTACTTATAACTTAAATGAAACAGTGCACAACAGAGGTAGTGTGTGCCAATTCAGTAGCAGCTGAAGTGAATGGCAGGAGATTAATCACTAAGGATTCGGAGAAGACAAAGATGAATGCTTTACAGCATTTATGTCCTGGTAGTAAAATAAAAGTGCTAATACTACAGGAAAGCATTACATTTATACATAATACTGTTCTAAACTAATGTTTTCCATTTTAACATAAAATTTATCTGCTAAAAATATGAAAGGTTTATTATATTAACATGTTCTTTTTCTTTCTTTTCCTGGTTTCTATGTAGATTCTAAAGGAAATGTTTCCTGTGAGAAACATGGAGGCGTACATTGATAGCTCTTTATTCTGTTAATTACTCTTACTCTGACCCTCAGGCTTTACAAATTTTAGTAACTGACCCAGAACAAGTATGCAAACAAAGAGTTCTGACATTACTCTGACTTTACTTACAAAGAAAAATGTTCTGAGTCAGTGACTATGAAAGTATTGCAGCCAGTTGGTCAGCATAATGGCAGTACTAATTTTAAAGAAGGTCGGCAATGGCAGCCCCTTTCTGGAAAGAATTTTGAAGCTTCTAATGCACACTGTGAGAGAGAGAAAAGCATATAAAATGTTAAGATGTTAATGAGGGTTGCCCTACTTCTTACACAATAGCATGGTAAGAGAGATCCTGTTCCTGGTTGGTGGGTGTTTGTCACAATAGAAAAAAGTGTCTGGTACTGTTAGAGTAAGGTCATTTTATGAAGGCCAACACTATAAGAGGACAGACTCATAGCCTGAAAGAAACTCAGATATATCAAAGAGGACTTTATTTCTGTTTAACTGCTTGTGCTTTGCTAATTTAAATATTTTATGTGTAGAAATAATTCTAAAATATTAATTAATCTTGTTATCTAAAAATAAAAAAAAAAACCGCCTGGTATTGAGGAACTAATTTTTTGTAGACCATGGCTACACAGATGATTAAAAAAAATAAGGTATTGCTTCATTCAGGATACAGGTTAAATTTGATTTCTATTTGTAAATGAGCCCCTGCATAGTAATTATATTTATCCTGCTTACTGGTAGGAGGCAGTTTTAGCTCAGGAATATTGCCTCTGCTATTGGTACCATTAAGCAGAAGCACTCTGTCAGGGCTCCAGGTATGACCAGAGATGTGTGGACTGACACAGGGAAACAGCAGGCTTCAAGTATGGTGAAATAATAATAAGATTTATTATTAGCTGCACAAAATAAACGCAGTGCAAACAAAACCAAACCTTAACTAATACTAATATGTGCAAGGCAGCAGGCAAAGGTTGGTCAGGTCACTCGCCGGTTTTGGTAACGGGGGTTCAGATCAGAATAGGAATGTCCAGAAGAGTAGTCAAACAAGCCAAGGGTCAGAGCAGGAGAAGTCAGCAGAGGTCAGGATCAGGCAGGGTCAGCAACAAGTCAGATAGGCAGAAGAACAGGAACACAGGATACAAGGTACAGGGGCTCATGGGAAACAATACACCAAGGCACTGACTGCAGGCCTGGCCATTCCTTAAATATACCTCCTGCAATCAGCCTCAGGTGATGGCTTGATTGCAGGAGTAAGCTTCTGGCTGCTCAGAGCACCCGCTGGCCAGCCCTGGTACTGCAGCCCGCACGACAGGTGAGTCCCACCACAAGTGGTGAATCCATTCCTGACACACTCCTTCCAAATTTCTTACACATCATCAACAAATTTAACTGTAAGGAAGTATAGCTTTAGAAGAGAATATGCAAAAGAAAGAGATGGGTGGACACTAAACGATATCCCTATTCACCAAAAATAATTCAAACCCATCCACTACCTAATGTCCCTGTAACGTATTTTTTGGTAATATTGTTTCTTACTGTGTTTTGCTTCCTCCTTGTAACACGCTCTGAGCTCTGGAACCTCTATTTTCCCCCATGCTTCTATTTGTTTGGAACAGGCATTAGACATTAGTTATGCTCATGTGCACAGCTCTATGCAAACTACAAATTTCATAGTCCATTGTCCATAGCCCCTAGTCCATCTCAGGAGTGAGCAAGAGAGGGTAGCTACATTCTTAAATACAGTGGGACCATGGAGAATGAACATAGCAAAGTAGCAAAACAAAAAAGGTTGAGGATACTTGGAGGAGGTTGAGAGCAATAAAAGGTATTTTTATGAATTAAGACTACATCCTTAACCAGAGTTTAGAGCACTTAAAGTCTGCAGATAACAACAAGAAATAGATATCTGGTATACAGTTCTTCTAATTTGGACCAGCCATTCTTGTGTTGCAACATCTGGACAGCATGTACTTGTTCCATCAGTGATCCATCAAGTAGCAAAGCAATGAAGATGACAACCTCCAATTCTGCCCCTTCTAAAACAGATTATAAATGGCAAATCGTTTTTATCTATTCTAACAGATTTCCTTTATAATCAATATGTGCGTTACGCATGCATGGCAAAGCAACATGTTCACTTTAATGGTAGCCCCACTAAAAGTGTATACTTCCCTTCCATTTGCTTTATTGCTGCTCTGTTCATATACATAGATTGAAAACAACTCTCTGTAAATCCAGAAATTGGGAGTATCGGATCACTTCCCTCCATGATAGCACTGGTGTCACATTTGGTCAAGAATAGAGTTCTCAACCCCATGTAAGCTCTTATTCAAGACTTGGAAGTTACACTTGGATACCTCTCTTCTCTCCCAGCAGCCAAACAAAGCACCTGAAAGTAATAGGAAAGTAGTCATAAGCTGATGGAGGTGCTGCCACTAGAATGAATGCGGCAGCCTTTGAGCCTAGAGGGACCTGTTTTAACCACTTGCCTACAGGGCACTTATACCCTCTTCCTGCCCAGGCCAATTTCCAGCTCTCAGCGCTGTCACATTTTGAATGACAATTGCGCGGTCATGCAACACTGTACCCATATGACATTTTTACCATTTTTTTGTGACAGATAGAGCTGAAAATTTTGAAAAAAAAAAAGTTTTTTCTTAGTTTTTGTTGTAAAATTTTGTAACTAAGTGATTTTCTCCTTCACTGATGTGCGCTAATGAGGCTGCAGTGATGGGCACTGATAGGCTGGACTGATGGACACTGATAGGTGGCACTGATGAGGAGGCACTAATAGGTGGCACTGATGGGCATTGACAGGCATCACTGATGGGCACTGAAAGGCAACACTGATATATGGCACTGATAGGCGGCACTGATAGGTGGCACTGATTGGCACTGATAGGTGGCACTGACTGGCACTGTTAGGTGGCACTGACTGGCACTGTTAGGCGGCACTGACTGGCACTGAAAGGAGGCACTGAAGGGCACTGATAGGCGGCACTGATTCACACCGATAGGCAGCACTGACTGGCACTGATAGGTGGCACTGATTGGCAGAACTGATAGGTGGCACTGATTGGCATGATTGGTGGCACTGACTGGCACTGATAGGTGACACTGAAAGGCAGCTCAGATGGGCACTGATATGTGGCATTGATGTGCACTGGTAGGCACTGATATGTGGCATTGATGTGGTACTGGCACGTGGCACTGTTCAGCACTGACAGCTGGCACTTCTGGGACCACACTGATCATCAGGGCAGACTGATCATAAGTGCCCTGATGATCAGTGTACATGTCCCCTCCGCGGAATGCCGATTACCGTCTCTCCTCTCCTCTCGAGCTGTCAGCGTGACAGTTCATGGGGAGAGAAATGCCGATAACCGGCATTTCCCTGTTTACATGTGATCAGCTGTGATTGGACACAGCTGATCACATGACTGAGCCGACATCTTCGACTGTTTCCGTAGATCGGTAATCCGCTGTATCTGAGGGACACAGCGCACCATCGAACGCCGTGCTGCACGCTCCCTGAGCCACGCATGCGCGGTGAGAAATGGGAGGACGTCATATGATGTCCTCCCAGAACGAGAGAACCACCTTGCGCCCTTCATTGGACTATATGGCGGGCGGGAAGTGGTTAACGTGCATATGCCAATTACATGACATATAGGCAGCCAAGATTAATAACCAATAATTTAAAAAGCAAATGCAAGGGCAAACCCTATGGGGTAGATTTACTAAAAACTGGTGCACCTCGAACTTGGTGCAGCTGTGCATGGGAGCCAATCAGCTTCTAACTTCAGCTTGTTTATTTAAGCTTTGGCAATAAAACCTGGAAGCTGATTGGTTTCTATGCAGAGCTGAACCAGATTTTGCACTCTCGAGTTTTAGTAAATAACCCCATATGTGTCAACACCTACTGCATACACACATCATGTGATCTTGCATGTGAGCAAGAAGTCAATTAAAGTATAACTAAAGGCAAAACTTTTTCTTTAGCTTAGGATAGGGTGTAGAGAGTTTAGAACACCTGTCGGTTTTTATTGCTGTCTGTGCCCTCATTAGGAAGATTCACCCTCTCTATTTGTCCTACTTATTGTTTTCAAGTAAAAGTAAATGAAACCCCAAATTGGGTTGTCCCCAGAAAAGTATTAGAAGGAAATTTTCCATTGGGGACACTAGTTCTGTTGACCTGGGGGTCGCCAAGAAATTCCCTTAATTTTCAGAGATTTTCCTGTTTTGCTTTTGGGACAGGAATGGATGGTAAATCTCCCCAATGGGACACAGATGGCAAAAAATAAACTGACAGGAGCTATAACCCTCCCTTGCCAATAATTCTGCATTAAGTGTGTTAAGAGAAAATAAAGTGTCACTTTTGGGGCTATATTTAAACTGATTCCGCAAAGTGGCTGGATGGGGCTGGTAGCAACCTGCAGGTTGAGAAAAAATATTGTAGAAAACTTATCAGAAAATAAATTTGCTAGCTGATGTTGTCAACATTAAGTATACGTGCCAGAGCTGTCATTCTTACCTTGTTTCAGAAACTTAATAAATCACCTAAAACAAGCAAGCAGCAAGCTGAATCACACCTTCACTAGTGATGGGCCAAACACCCCCCTGTTCGGTTTGTGGTCGAACATAACGAAAGTGCGACTGTGAACTTCGAACAGAGAGGATGATTCACTAAGCAGTATCTTACCTCATCTGGTTATGCGGTACAGCCAGGGGCGGACTGACTATTTGGAAACTCGGGCACTGCCCGAGGGCCCGGGGTCAGTAGGGGGCCCCATGAGATGCCCCTGGTACCTTTTTCATAGACTTTTTTGAGTTTGGGCAAGGACACAGGGGCCCCATGATCCTTTATTGCCCGGGGTCCCCATGAGTTGTCAGTCCACCCCTGGGTACAGCACAGCTACTAAATACCTTCTTTATTGTTTCAGCTGTCAGCAGGGTTACCTTCTGACAGCTGAATGTAAAAAGAATTGCCGGCATTGCCCAGCAATTCCTTTTTTTTTTTAACCACTTGCCCTCCAGAGGATTCACCCCACTTAATGACCAGGCCTCTTTTTTACTACTCTGCTCTGCACTAATTCAATTGACAATTGCGCGGTCATGCAATGCTGTACCCAAATGAAATTTCTGTCCTTTTTTTCACACAAATAGAGCTTTCTTTTGGTGGTATTTGATCACCTGTTCGCTTTTTATTTTTTGCACTATAAACAAAAAAAGACCGATATGTTTAAAGAAAAACTATATTTTTCACTTCCGGCTATAAAAAATATATAGTAAACTCAAAGTTAGTTATAAATTTAGGCCAAAATGTATTCTGCTACATGTTTTTGGTAAAAAAATCCCAATAAGTGTATATTGATTGCTTTGTGTGAAAGTTATAGCGTCTACAAACTATGGTATAGATACTGCAATTTACGCCATTTTTTTGCTATACAGCGCTGCTCTAGTTTAACTGACAATTGTGCGGTCATGCAATACGGTACATAAATGAAATTTATGTCCTTTTTTCACACAAATAGAACTTTCTTTTTGTGGTATTTGATCACCTGTGCGCTTTTTAGTTTTAGCGCTATAAACAGAAAAAGTTTTTTAAAAAAAAGCAACGCCCTTACTATTTGTGTGTTCGCCAAACAAACAACCGGCCGATGTTTGAATCGAACTAATGTTTGACGTGAACATACAGCCCATCACTAACCTTCACCCTATGGGTGATGTTGTGCTGCCATGCCTCCTCTCCTCCCTCTCCTACTAATGGAATTTTTTTTTAAAGTTCTTTTGGCTGTGCTTTAAATCAACCTTTCTGCCTTTCTCACCTAGGCTAGAAGTTCTCCCTGCCCCCTTCACAGCCGTGTCAAAGGGCCAAGTCCCAATAGAGCCCTGCAGAACATCTGCGCATGTGCCAGTTATCTGTGCTTGTTCAGGTTTTCCAGCGCACACACAAAAACAACTAACAGAGAATTTAAAAGCTTCCCTGTGCTGGCACATGCACAGAATGTTGAAGCATCTTCCAGAATGAGGGAGGCACACAGAAGTTCTGCTTTACTGTCTATGGCAGGCACTAAAATTACACCTCTGTTCAAAGATCTGACACCCATATTTAGATATCGTTTCCTTAATATCAACTCAAAAATGCAAGTCAAAAGTGTTAGTCATCCAAAGTGCCCCATTACATATCAGGAGTGCTCCCTTAAAATATGAGTTCCCCTTACACATTAGAGACCCTCCGATAAATTAGGCATTCCCCCATACACCTCAGGAGTACACCTTTACACATCAAAGCCCCCTTTACACATCAGAGCCCCCATTACACATCAGGAGTGTAGCTGGCCAGCTAAGACCAGTCCTAGGTTGTTAATATGGTTCACATATATGTGTATACCAAACCTGCCAATAACCTCAGTACAGTATATATGTACATATGTTAAAGCCAAAAGCAGAATCATTGCTGTGATTTATGTCTTTGATTGTTATATGACATTTATATATTCATTGTGTTAGCAGAAGCAGAAAAGGAAAATATGCCTTTAAGAGTTAGTATAAAGATGAGCCAATCACAGACAGCCTTATACTGTACAGAGCCTTAACCAATCCCAGCCAGTTTCACATCTATGCCTGTGTAAAACTCCCTGCTAGGATTTTCTAGAGACACATGCTCACCAGACAGAAGAGGAAACAGACAGTTCCAATCAGAAGAGCTTTATGGAGGCAGAGCAGGCCAAATAGTTCCACCGAACGAGCGAATATAACAAATCGAATTGAACTTATCGAATCGAACTTACAAATTTACCGAATCTAACAAATTTATCAAGCTATCAAATCAAACCACTGTAATATAAAGAAATAAGCTACTGTATGATAAATGAAACAAGCCATTGTAAGCAGTTATATGAAGAAGATTGAAGTTATTAAAGAAGTTAACTAAAGTATTCGGTGTGCTCTTTAAACCTACTGCATCCATAGAGCGGCATTGGAGGAATTACAGAGTAAAGTCAGTCTAATTAAAGAAAGAAACAGCAATTGCATAATTTTTCTAATGCCACAGCGCACAAGGCACCAAAGGGTGCTGCGCCTACCACAAGGAGTGCCCCCTTACATATCAGGATTTTCTCATTTACACATTAGAATCTCCCATTACACACCAGGAGTTTGCCCTTCAACATAGAGCTCCCCATATGTGATTTTAAATTTTGACCATAGATACACTTTGGCCATAGATACATAGATACAATACATACAGGAGTGCATGATTGCTTCTGGTCAGTGGAGAAGTTCCTCCAATTGTGCTGGACAGCACAGGGTTACCTTGATGCTGGTCAAGGAAATGTCCCCCATACTGCTGGTTAGTGAAATGCTCTGCATTCTACTGGTCAGTGAAGTGTCCCTTCTGTCATTGTTGGTGGCCTTTCCTGCTAGGATCCTAGACAGTCTCAGGTCCTGTTAGGGTAAGTAGGTTCAGCATTGCTGCAGGAGGTGAAAACCAAAGCTGTAAAGGAAGCTTTGAATGTGCTTTCTATACTAATGAAGGGGGTAACAAGTGGGCATACTGCACTGGCCACATGCCACTCTTCATGTAACTGAATGAGGCCCTTCCTGATTGCTCCATTATATGAATGGCCCCCAAGGCATATGCCATAACTGCCATATATTAGATACACCATTGTAATCCACCAAGGGTAAGGAAAATATCCCAGGGACTTGCCCTCAAAAATATCTAAGCAATGGCAGCTCCCATATTTCCATCCTGAAAGGTTCCCATTAAGGGATATAGTTTTTTGGGGAAATACCTATTAAAATTATGTTTTTATTAATGTGTCTGGTGTTCCCTTTTAACTGCTTGGCAGGCTCTGTTTTAGACAACTTAGGTCAAGGAAATATTTGTGTTAGTCCTTTGAGAGTTACTTCTGAGCTTCAGCAGTAGTTCTTATATAGACAAATTCTTCATACAAAGAACAGATGTCATATGTCAAATTAAGAAGTTTCTATGACTTAATAATTTGTTGCCTTCAATGCTGATTTATAGGCATAGACAGGTCTATATCTCTGTGGAGCGTTCAAAATTGAAATCCTGCACTGCCGATGCTATCAGACAATTGATAATCCTAAGCAAGTGCTGATTTATAGCTATCAATGAGGAAACTGGATAAATCAGAAGATGTGATACACAGAACTGGAAATTGTTATAAGACAGATTCTGTGAGGAACATATAATTGTTCCTTTTCAAAATAGATGCTATCTCCAAGGCCACTGTATTTTTTGTCAGTTTATAGAACATGCAGTAAAAAGGTGAATGAAAGTGGCAGGCTCAAGTAGACATATCATTGTGAATCCCAGTCTGTCAATCTCTTGCACAATAACCTTTGCTTTATCACATTATTTCCTGAAACAGTTATTTACTATATGTCAGGAAGCTATGGGGGCTAATCCATTTCTCATATAACTCTGGCCCACTGAATACTGGTATATACACAGAAGGCTGCCTGTTGTATTGTATA